TTCATCTCGGTTGACCTACACGATCGTCCAAATTCGTCTCTAGTGGGCACCAAAATGAGAAAATTTCTCTTCCAAATTGGCGAATTTGACGATCTGTGCGACAACCCTCCGTTCACGATTGGCTGCTGATAATTCGTGGCTTCCAATTTTTTGGTCCTTTCCAATCTTGAATAGCCAATCAAAAAGCAGCAAAATATGCAGAGATTTTCACGCACGTCTTGACAATCGTCACGGATCTCAAAGTCCAAAAGTGACGTCCGAGATCGAAGGCCGCATGATTTACACCTTCGAAATCGAGCTCTAATTCCAAGTCAAAGCCTCTGGGGTGCGGTCCCCTCGTCGTCACAATTGAAGCGCCCGACATTCACGGGCGATGCTGGACCCACAGCATCCCATTCTTGACTTTCTTGATCGAATTCCAATAAAGCCGGAGGTCTTTGACAAAATGTCACTTTTTTTTTTTGATAATTACACATATAATCCATAATTTTTGATTTAATATATAATATCGTCCATGAACTTTTAATTTATTTAATTCGATCCCTAAAATTTATCTTAATGTGCAACGTTGTCCTCGAACTTTTAATTTATTTAATATGGTCCATGATGTTTTATATAGTTCCTGAATTATATGAAAATATTCAACATTTTTCATGAGTTTGAATCGATGGAATGGCAAGATTGAAAAATTTCATATAATTCAATAACTAAATTAAGTATGTACCAGAAATTTATGAACCACATTAATTAGAAGTTCAAGAATGACATTGCACATTAGGTTAAAGTTTAGGGACCATATTGAATAAATTGAAAGTTTAGGGACGACATTGCACATTGAGCCAAAGTTCGAAAGCCATTTGTGTCATTTTCCCTTACTTTTTCTTCTTCTTCTTTTTCCATTTTTTGAAAGTCAAGGTGGACAAAAATCCTTCGAAAGTGAAATATGCAATGAAAAATTGAGATTGATGATCACTAAATTTCTCTATTTTTAGAACATATACTACGTATCCAAATTATAAAAAAAAGAATTCCATTTCGAACAAGAAATTATATAGCAAAATTTGAATTATATCGGGCATGACATCTCATATTATTGTTAGTATAAGTAGCAATCGGGGATAAGTGAGGCAAGCCTCGACCCCGCACGACGACATGAATTTATTGAGAGAAATTCGAACCCGACGTATGACATAATGAACTCAATGCTAGCGCAATAGACGACCAACATGTTTTCATGATTTAAGATTAAAAAAAATTAATAATAATTGAGTCAAATTATCTTAATGATAAGACGAGTCAACACCAACGTAACGAAATGGTCGAATTGTGTATGTCGTCTTTGACAAGGAGTTACATTTGGACCTTGATGATATGTCCCTTTTTTCCAACTTGTATGGCAGCCCATCAACATATCAATCTTCTTTTTCTACGGCCGCCGGCTATCAGCATTACTTATCTGACCTATCACCACCGCTTATAATTTCACTCCTCGTGTCACTTAATTTAATTATCGTTTATTGGTTTTAGCAGTCTTAAGTTATTGACAATTTCGACCCAAAAAGAAAAAAGTTGCCGACAATTAATATTTTATATGAGGAAAACAAGATCCTGTGGCGTCATAAATTGCGAATGCCCTAATGTTGCAGGGTCGGTGACGTGCCGAATGACCTCATCCTTCGGCATATTCATTGCATCTTTATCGAGCATGCGCATATAATTCAGCCACTAAATTTGTTTAATATCCTTATTTCTTTGGAGTATTAAACTCTCTCTCCACTAAACTGAATAGCACGCTTCTAAGACTGACCCTTCTAGACTTGTTCTCTTTTTTTTTTTCTTCACCATCATTTTCTTAACCCAATTTGGAAATCTTTCAAACATAGAAGGATGAACCCTATTGGCTATTGACCGATAGAGGGATTAGAAAAATGTTGGGTTTAAATAAATTTATTTTGCAAATTGTGCGCACCGAATGATGTGGCAGATTGTTATTGCACAATGAATATGGTCCATTTCCTATTCCTTCGAGAATCAAGATGCAACTGCTTATTTGATTGTCCACTTGTAATATGATGCATTGCTTGATAAGTACGCCGATTTTATAATCCAATTTTAGTTTACCTAATATCGTTAAAAGTGATTGGGATATCACGTCTTAAAGGCATGAAGTTTTTAAGGCTTATTTATATTTGACGAAACCACTCAAGCTCGGGTCATGATGAGGTAATTTCTTGCGTGTTCGTTGGCCCTTACATGAATGGCTAGCCTTTGACTGGATTCGGGAGATGAAGATAGCTTGATATGGAAAAATTAGCCCAGTTAAGTTTTATAGGTTCATACACCATCTTCCTCCCTCTCCCCCAACCTCGAGAATGCCAATCAAGGCCTCTCTTTTATAATGCTTGTATTATTTGAGAAAGAAGAATATGATGGGACTTAAACTTTAGCCTTTAGTTTCCAAGCTCTTTAGTAATATGGAACTTGCACTTAGACATTATACCTACGCCGTTCCCTAGATAGTCCTTTAACTAGAGTTTTTAGTCTCTCATTAACAAAGAAGACATCATTATTTCTTGGCATTTGGTTTGGGTCCTCCTACTTTAGAAGCCATGTCCTTCCCTAGATAGTCTTCCCACTAGAGTTTTCAGTCTCCTATTGTTAACAAAGAAGCTCCTCCCTAAGGATCATGGATCCTTGGTGGGATTCCGAGAGTACCTCACCAAAGCAAAGGTAGCCTAAGCTACCAACTGGGGGGCCCCGCCTGTCCAGATGTATACACATGGTAGATTGACAGGACTACATTCTTTATTTTAATACGTCGATACCCGCACACCCACTTTTCCTTAATTGGTTGTATATTTATCGAACTCTGTACCCAACTCTACTCTTTACGTGTTTTTACGTCCAATGGATGCCGAGATCTGCATGAAATTTCAGACGAAGCAGTTTAAAATCTTACTTAGGACCAATCCTCCTACTTTAGAAGCCAGGTCCTTCCCTAGATAGTCTTCCAACTAGAGTTTTCAGTCCTCTAGTATTAACAAATAAGCTCCTCCCTCCCTCCCTCTCCCTCCTTCGAAAATGCCAATCAAGGCCTTCATGTAAACAATTTGGAGATTCGCTTTATTTTTATAATGCTTGCATAATGTGAGAAAGAAGAATATGGTATGGTGGCACTCAAACTTTATTCTATAATTTTCATGTTCATTAGTAACATGGAGTTTGTACTAAAACATTTTACATGTCTCTTAGCATTTTGTAGGGTTCCTCTTAGCTTAGAAGTTATGTCCTTCCCTAGATAGTCTTCCAACTAGAGGTTTTTAGTCTCCCACTAACAAAGAAGACGTGCTTTTAATTTAGTTTAATTCCAACTCCATCATTAGATTCATCCCATCACAACATATAATTAAGACATGGTTTTAATATGGAGTAAGTCCATTCCATCATTAGACTCATCCCATTATAAAAATTAATTTTTTTGGTCGAATTCCACCCATCTTAAAAAAGGAAAAGTATTAGTTATGTCCGGCGCGTATAATCCCTGTACAATCGATCATTTGGATCATGTGGATCCCACGTGACGTCGATCAGCTCGTATGCATTAGCCTTACTAGCCAGGGCGAGGGCAATATCAACACCTAGTCCTCCTTTTTATAGTTTTTCCACAACCCTTCGACAAAGAAACCGTACATCACAAAATCAATACAGTTCCATCTCCATCGTTAAATTGAGAAATTATGCAATAACCCTTAGTCGAAAACGTACACTCGGGTTATTTCTATATTTATTTTTGCTTGCAATGATACTTTTGGGATTTTTCAAGCATACGTCGACCGATCCTCTAGCTATCTCGCATACACTAGATAATCACGAAACAACATTACGTTGTCACATACATATGACGGTTCGAATCCTAATCGTTTTTGCTTGGTTTGGGAAGGAGGGCTAAAAATGAAAGAGTGAGCTCTAAAAACTATGCAAATTTTCTGTGACGAGGCGAGGAGGGGGAATGTAAAATTTTTACCTCCCCTTTTCCTTTTCCATAAATAACTTATTCAGCTTGTTGTCGGTGTTCAAACACCCCGAAAAATAAATTATCTTTAGTTCCCGACCAAAAGCAAGCTTTTTTAGCTTTACTAGTTATAGAACGTAGCCATAGCCACCGCAAGATTCCCCTGACATTATTGCTCAGCCTCTGCTTTGCGAACTAGATCATTTTTCAAAATCTAGCTTTGCACCCACATAAATTTCTTTTTTCTTTTTATATTACATGCTTAATTCAATCAGGCATTCTTTTTTATTTCCTCTTTGGACAAGGAATTTAAAGGCCAACAACCTCGAATATAATATTATCTTTTTAAGGTTAATACCACAAAAAATCCCAAACTGGTGCACATGTGACAAATTTACCCTCCGTTAGTTTCCGTTAGATTTTCCCGTCAAATTGCTGACCTAGAAGATAACATGTGGCAGTTGACGGGTATACCGGTTTGGAGTTTTACCCTCCGTTTGTCATATGTGTATTAGTTTGTGGTTTTTCGTTGTGCTAATTCAATTTAATAGAAATTAACGGTGGGTAAATTTATTACGAATGTACCAATTTGGGGTTCTTTGTGGTCAAAAAATTAATTTGCAGTAAATTTATCACATATATATCGGTTCGGATTTTTTCGCGATATTAACTCTCCTTTTTTAACCACCCGAGATTGGAAGGTTCGAGAGATTCCAAGTCGGACGCATCGCCGGAGCCCCGCGAAGGGCATATTCCCCTCGTACAGCGGCGCACACGTATCAGGGATATTTCGGAATCTAGAGAGAGAAACGAGAGAGAGAGAGAGAGAGCGTTTTGCACGTTCGCGAGAGGACAGCGAACATAAGTTACGCCTAAGAGAGGAGAGCGAAACGACAAGCTCACATGCAGATTTTTAGAGAGAGAGAGAGAGAGCGACATTTTGAGATTTTTTGACGAGCCCCTTTTTTCGTTTTTTTGAGATCCGAGGATGTCTATAAAGTGCCGTCCTGCGCCCTCCTCTGGACCACGCACTTCTCTCTCTCTCTCTCTCTCTACTGATTTTCCTTCGTCGATCTTCTCCTCCTCCTCCTTCTCTCCTCTCTCCGCAATCTCAGTCGCGGTCGCTTCCGCATCAGGTACATTGCCGTCTTCGAGAACTCGTGGTCCCGTCTATCCATGTCCGCGTCCCCCCGTAAACGAAGCGTTCGACCGCGTTTGTCCTCGCGCAATTCTCCGTTTCTCGACCGACCGGCATTGGTTCTCTTCCGGACCGCCGGATCTCGGATTTGATTGCCTGTGGCTTTTCGATTGATCTGAAAAGTCAGTGGCCGCGTCGTGTTTGATTTTTTTTTTTGTTTCCCTGGTTTTTGTCGGTGATCGCAGTGACGGAGCCTTCGAATTTGAGGGATGGCGAGCCGGAATCTGGAGAAGCTGGCGTCCATCGATGCGCAGCTCAGGCTTCTGGTTCCGTCGAAGGTGAGCGAGGACGACAAATTGGTGGAGTACGACGCCTTGTTGCTGGATCGGTTCCTCGATATTCTTCAGGACTTGCACGGCGAAGATCTCAAGGAGACGGTACGGGAATTTGACTGTTTGTTCTGCTGATGTGCAATGGAACACGATACTAGGAAAGAAAATGCGATTGAACAGGATTTCTGTCAGTATTCTGGAGTTGAATGTCTGGGATTTTGCGAATGTAGCAAGATTCCATCACCTAGTTTAGCATCCAGTGAATATTGACGTAATTTGAGTGTTAAATGTATTTGCTTTTCCGTGGTGAGAATTGTGTTCCTCATCGTTTATGGATCTCATCAATCTGGCATTTACTGTTTGTTCACAGTAATCTTGCGTAATCTATAGAATCTGCGAAGGAGTGTGTCCTTTTGTAACATAATTGCGATGTAATTTAGGTACAAGAGTGCTATGAGCTTTCTGCCGAGTATGAAGGCAAACATGATCCCCAAAAGCTGGAGGAGCTGGGAAATGTTTTGACCAGTCTGGATCCAGGGGATTCCATTGTTGTTGCCAAATCTTTCTCCAACATGCTTAACTTGGCAAACTTAGCCGAGGAGGTTCAGATTGCTTACCGCCGGCGTAACAAGTTGAAGAAGGGGGATTTTGCCGATGAGAACAATGCAACAACTGAGTCGGACATCGAGGAGACGCTCAAGAGGCTTGTGGTGCAGCTGAAGAAGTCTCCTGAAGAAGTATTCGATGCTCTTAAGAATCAAACAGTGGATCTTGTCTTTACTGCTCATCCTACGCAGTCAGTACGGAGATCTTTGCTTCAGAAGCATGGAAGGTCTGCTCTCTACCCCTTTAATATGGGCAGTTTGGACTTCCATCATCTGTTGATATTTTATTTTGCAATTCTGATATTTTAATAACCTCATTGCAAAACCGATTTTTCGGTCTTGGTCTGAAGTTTCAACTCCATCGAGTGATGCTTGATATCATTTGAAGGATCCTGTCATTTGATTGTTTCCTATGGCTATTCTGCCCAGGATCCGAGATTGTTTGGCCCAACTCTATGCTAAGGACATCACTCCTGATGACAAGCAGGAGCTTGATGAAGCACTTCAGAGAGAGGTATTTAATAGTTTTTCTCCCTCCCACTAGAATTTCGCTTTACCAATATTTTCTTGTAATCAAATCTCTTATTTGTGTTTCCATTGACCTTGTTATCATCCTTCCTTTCACTCTCTATTGATTTGAGTATTTGATAAATATTTGCATGGTAGAACTATTTTGCCTTCGATGAATTGAATGTTGAGAAGTGTCCCAGTGGTGGCTAATTTGAATTAAAGGGAAGAAGTAAGTTAGGATGTGGTAACTTTTTGGGGATTTACCGGTTCCTCATGCATCCAGATCTTCAGTGGAATGCAGTTTTGGAATGTCAACAATCAAAACCTTGCTTTATTGCCTGTCATTTTTATGAACATTGAAACTCTACCCAAATAGAGTAGAACGAAGCAAAGCAAGTTTGTTGTCATCAATCATCTCCCTCACCCCATAGTTATTCTCTTTTTCTATATCTTTTACTTGTTTCCTATTTGGATATCCTAGCTACAGATGCTGTATAACTTGTTTAGACTTGCCCCCTTCCCTCCACCATTGATTGATACGAGTTGTTATTACTTGCCAAAAATAAAATTACCCTTATCAACGGTGATAGATATGGTGATTGTTGGATCTTGAATTTACTTGTGCCTGTGCATATGGGATTGGATGAAAAGGAATGGCTTTTGTGGGCTCTTCTTACCCCTTTCAAAATCATGAAGTTAGCTCTCATTGTTTCTGGATTATTCTAGATGCTCATGTATACAATATGCAACAATGCTCGTTCTTGTACACTAGTGAAAGTTTCACTGGCAGTTCTTCATGTACATCTTGTTATGTGGACTTTGAGTAATTTATTGTTTCAACTTTAGATTGAAGTGGATCTTATCTGTTGAAATTCTACTAAAGTTGAGAACCAAAATGCATTTTTTGGACTATCACCATCGTGCTTTTATCCTCCCGGCACAGATACAAGCTGCATTCCGCACAGATGAAATCCGAAGGACCCCTCCAACTCCACAAGATGAGATGAGAGCTGGAATGAGCTATTTCCATGAAACCATCTGGAAGGGTGTTCCCAAGTTCTTACGCCGGGTTGACACAGCTTTGAAGAACATAGGAATCAATGAGCGTGTTCCTTATAATGCGCCTCTTATTCAATTTTCTTCTTGGATGGGTGGTGATCGCGATGGTATGATTTTCTATATAGGAATATGCACCTTGCTGGTTTAAAAAGTTCTAAATTTTGGTTTCTAGATAACTTTTGCTATTATCTCTCTCTCTCTCTCTCTCTCTCTCTCTCTCTCTCTCTCTCTCTCTCTCTCTCTCTCTCTCTCTCTCTATCTCTATCTCTCTGAAGGTGGATTAGTTGTGTATTTCAGGTAATCCAAGAGTAACCCCTGAGGTCACGAGAGACGTTTGCTTATTAGCTAGAATGATGGCTGCCAACTTGTACTATTCCCAAATCGAAAATCTTATGTTTGAGGTGCTAGATGGGATCCACATCTGCTTTTTGTTTGGATGTTACATATCCTTGATAATTATACGCTCATCGACTTAATATGCATACTACCAAAGAGACCTTTGAATTATCATCCTTTCTGTGCAGCTGTCTATGTGGCGTTGCAGTGATGAGTTACGTGTTCGTGCGGAAGAACTCCATAGATCCTCAAGGAGAGATGCAAAACACTATATAGGTAATAGTTTCTGGATTCCATGATCGGGTCTCTTTGAATCACAATAGATAACTCTCTTGTTCAATGTTTGCTATTAAATCTGGTTCCTGTGAATGTTTTCCCCTCTTACTGTATGGAACGAGAACATAACAGTCATTTTTAAGTACTTCAGTATTACTGCTCTACGTATTTTTGAGTGACTTCCGGAAGGGCAGGTACTTTGATGGTTCGGACTATTTCTTGAATTATATTGAGGACCTTAAATTCACGACTGTGTGTTGTCCCCACCAAAACATGACGAAAACGGTCCTCACATATTTACAGCAAAAGGCTACTTTAATGCCCGCCAGCGATTCGAGTTTTTGCTGCCTTCAATTGCATTTCACCTTTCTTCAATTTCTTGGCCGATGTAATGAATCAACCTTCTGTGTCTTGGTATAGAGTTTTGGAAACAAGTGCCGCCGAATGAACCCTACCGTGTGATACTTGGTGATTTGAGGGATAAGCTGTATCAGACACGTGAACGTTCTCGTCAGATGTTATCCAATGGTATCTCCGACATCCCCGAAGAGGCAACTTTCACCAATGTTGAGCAGGTTGTTTACATGATCGTTTATTTACCTAAGTCTTCTTGCATGCTCTTAATTCTAATTGCATGCGGCATATGTTATAATTTTAATTGGCTATCTAGGACAGCTGCCGTTACTGAACAGTTTTGCAACCTCTTCTTGTAGCTCTTGGAACCTCTGGAACTTTGCTACAGATCGCTCTGCTCATGTGGTGATCGGCCAATAGCTGATGGAACCCTTCTTGATTTCTTGAGACAAGTTTCCACTTTTGGCTTCGCACTCGTCAAACTTGATATCAGACAAGAATCCGATAGACACACTGATGTACTAGATGCGATCACAAGGCACTTGGAAATTGGGTCCTACAAGGAGTGGTCCGAAGAGCGCCGCCAGGAATGGCTCTTGTCTGAGCTCAGCGGCAAGCGCCCGCTGTTTGGTCCTGATCTTCCTCAAACTGACGAAATCGCGGATGTGCTAAACACGTTCCATGTCATAGCAGAGCTCCCTGCTGATAGCTTCGGGGCCTATATCATCTCGATGGCCACTGCTCCATCCGATGTGCTGGCAGTGGAGCTCTTACAACGCGAGTGCCATGTGAAGCAACCACTGAGAGTTGTTCCGCTGTTTGAGAAGCTCGCAGATCTGGATGCTGCTCCTGCTGCTGTGGCACGACTTTTCTCAATCGATTGGTACAGAAATCGGATCAATGGCAAGCAGGAAGTTATGATCGGCTATTCAGATTCCGGCAAGGATGCTGGACGTTTATCTGCAGCGTGGCAACTTTATAAGGCCCAGGAAGAGCTTATAAATGTTGCTAAAGAGTATGGCGTGAAGCTTACTATGTTCCATGGCCGTGGTGGCACGGTCGGGAGAGGAGGTGGTCCCACCCATCTTGCCATATTGTCTCAGCCACCAGACACTATCCACGGGTCACTTCGGGTTACCGTTCAAGGCGAGGTTATTGAGCAATCATTTGGAGAGGAGCATTTGTGCTTTAGAACTTTGCAACGTTTTACCGCTGCTACCCTAGAGCATGGAATGCACCCACCAAATGCCCCAAAACCTGAATGGCGTGCGCTGATGGATGAGATGGCCATTGTGGCTACGGACAAGTACCGCTCAATTGTTTTCAGAGAGCCTCGTTTTGTCGAGTACTTTCGCCTTGTAAGGAATTCTCGTCTTGATTTGACCCCATTACTCCTTTTAAATATGACACGAGTAATGAATTGCTTTTCATTTTATGGTTTAGGCCACCCCAGAGATGGAATATGGTCGTATGAACATTGGGAGCCGTCCAGCAAAGCGAAAGCCCAGCGGAGGCATTGAGTCACTTCGTGCGATCCCTTGGATTTTTGCATGGACTCAAACAAGGTTTCACCTTCCGGTGTGGCTTGGTTTTGGGGCCGCGTTCAAGCATGTTATTGAGAAGGACATTCGGAATCTGCATATGCTGCAGGAGATGTATAACGAGTGGCCTTTCTTTAGAGTCACCATTGACTTGGTTGAAATGGTGTTTGCCAAGGGTGACCCTGGAATAGCTGCCTTGTATGACAAGCTCCTTGTCTCTGAAGATCTTTGGTCGTTCGGGGAGCGATTGAGGTCTGGTTATGAAGAAACAAAGAAACTTCTTCTCCAGGTAAACCTCTCTGAAGTATTTCATTTTCCTCCCTTTTCACACTTTGTTCTGGAGATTATTGGTTCTTACTCTCCTCCCATTTCCCTCGGATTCTTTTAGTTTAGCTTAAAAATTAAGCAAAAGAAAGAAGGAAAATTGAGTGGGTTTTTACGAATAATATTAAGGAGCACGATCCTGCCTCTCACGGGATTTCAATCTGGCTTCATAAGTCCAGAAATCCTTCATTATGTTTGATATTCAGCTTTCTGATATTCTGCCGCATTAAGTTCGTTGGATCCTCTTATTACCGATCTTTTGCAAGTGTTGCAGAATTAGTCAATCGAAGGCACTTGTCACCTTAAATGATCTTTCGCCTTACTTCTAAAAGGGTAGCTCACGGGGTCTCCAATAGGCTTCAAGTTCGTGGGGTGGATATAATGAACGTATCGCGTGTTACTTGTGGTGTGATCGTTCCTCTTTTAAATGCATATGGTGTCTTTATTTTAGGTTGCTGGTCACAAGGATCTTCTGGAAGGGGACCCCTACCTGAAGCAGAGATTGCGTCTCCGAGATTCGTACATCACAACCCTAAACGTTTGCCAAGCGTACACACTCAAACGTATCCGAGACCCAACCTACAATGTGGAGTTGCGGCCTCACATCTCTAAGGAGATCACTGAGTCAAGCAAAACAGCTGATGAGCTCGTGAAGTTGAACCCGACGAGCGACTACGCCCCTGGTCTGGAGGATACCCTCATCTTGACCATGAAGGGTATTGCTGCTGGCATGCAGAACACCGGCTAAACACACGGGACGATCTCCCTTCCTTTTCTCATCCGTTTCATTTTAAAAGCATTATTCCCAGAAAATTCTAAGCTATACACACCCGAAGCTGATGCTTCCGAAGCTGATGCTGTATAATTATACACCTTCGGGTGGAATTTCTGGGTGAGCTATGCAATCGGATTGTCACGTTTGAGCTTTTTAGCGGGTCACCTTTCTTGCTTATTTAAGAATGGACTGTACAAGACTGGTCTTGGCCCTTTTGGGTTTCCAGAGAATAACACAGTCACCACCTTCTGATTCCCATACTTTCTTTCAAAAGACACAAAGGAAAAATCCGAGAAATGACACGAAATGGACTCGTGTGTGTTTCTGATTGTAGCATTTGGATCTAGCTTAAATAAGGATCGAAGAATGTCATGCATCCATCATCCAGTGTCTGATGAAATTCCGACCTAATTGCCTCAATCAGAACCAAGGTAAATACTAAATATGTGATGATGGATACTAGGATTAGTTCGATTACAGACTCCATAAATCGGACTCAAGTTCGGTCCTGATGTTGGCGATTTCAAAGATTTTGACAGATCTGGTGGTCGGACAACCTCTATTTGCGATTTAGGTACAATATCGAACCTACTGACTGCTTGAGAGATCGAGCTCGGGTTGCATGATTTGCATCATGTGATCGAATCGAGCTTAACCCGACAATTATAGAGCGTCGAGTCTATTTTACTTGATTACACACCTATCCGCTAATTCAAAGAACAAAACACACAAACGAAATTTTCCTTTCGCGGATTTCTTAGAATCTTTTGTACCTTTTTCTGTTTTTCCCTTTAGTAAAGAGCAATAATTCGTGAATTTACTCAAATTCGAGGAATAAAGTCCAAATACTATCCACTTTTACGGGAAAAAAGGGAAAAAGCCATAATCTCAAATTGTGCCCACCATAACACATCACCCTGAACTTTTTTAATAACATCAAAAATTCTAAACTATGCACACGGTGACACGTTTACCTTAAATTAATTTGTAATTTTGTAACACATTTACCTTTCTCCGTCAAGATTTCATTAGATCATTTTTCAGGTAAAATAATATTCATTATTTATTTTCTAGCGTCCATGTACGCAAATTTTTTACAGTTCAGGGATTTTTCCAAGCATAGTTCAGGAATTTCTGTGGCTATTGCCCGGAAAAAAATAAGAAAGAACGAACGCATCAAGCTCATTTTGAATCAAGTGGTACGCACGTGATCATCGCTTTTTACTTTTCTCTTTTTCCCTTTTTTTTTTTTGCCTTTTTATTGCGCTGGCCATTTTTGGCTGACGCTTTCCTCGTTTCCCATTTCCTTCGTCGCTTCCACCATTCGAACTGATCGCGGAGAACCGGAGAAGACTTCAGGCCGAAGCAAATGGCGCTCTCGACGCGGCAGCGGCGCTCGCAGCCCTCCGATCCGTCATCGGCTTCGACGTCCCCCTCGGCCTCCTACTCCAAATCCGACAAGCCGGCGCGGCGATCGTCGGCCGGTCAGGCGGCGGAGGGCGGCGGGGGCTTGGGTTGGCTCACGCCGCTGTTTGCCCTAGCCTTCCTCCGCTACATGAGCGCCACCTCCAACATCATCCACGACTGCGACGAGGTGTTCAACTACTGGGAGCCCCTCCACTATCTCCTCTACAAATCTGGATTCCAGACTTGGGAGTACAGGTTAGCCGAATCGATGCTCGAGCCATGCTTGTTCCTTGGCTAGCTCCCTGTGAAATGCGGAGTGCTCGGACGCGTGTTGTGCTCTTTTGTTAGGTCAGCATGGGAGCTGTCTGCTTCGTGATTGTCGTCGTCGTGTAGACGTAGTTGCTGTTTGCGAGTGCGTTCACCGAGTGTTGATGCGAGACGGTGTTTAAGCTAGCTTCGGTTGAATGGAAGTGTAAGGTGATAGAAAAATATATTTCTGTGTCCTACTTAAAACTTGTGTGAACAGGTTTTTGTGCCGCGTCTGCTGTTCAGGATTTGCTGGTGATTACTGTTTTAAGAATGAGAAGGCACAGAGCTGTCGTTTTTTAGTCGTGTGTGAATTGACCGAGTGGGGTTGAATGTGTTCGAGTTAGCATTGGTCAAGTATGAAGTATAGGAGATTAAAGGACTTCATCTCTCCCAATTCTTTGACTGGTTTGCTGCATTTATGCTGGAAGAAACAATTTGGCAACCTAGACTGGGATTAAATAGCCGAGGAACAGCAAGAGCTACGCTTTTTCTCAATCTAGGTGTGAATAAGATGAGCCGAGGAGCACCAAGAGCGACTTGTCACATATTGACGTCCACTTGCATATTCACACAAGATAGATTGTTTTGTTTTTTTGTGGATAGATTCTACTTCAGTTTGATTGTGTTGTTCTTTTGGCGAGTCCCACCTCATCTAAATCCGATCGACCATATACTCGGGCAAACCTTTTCTCTTGCTTTTGGTGAAGCACCCTTTCTTATGCTCTTTCTTTGTTGGATCACTATGGTTCTTGACATGAATTTTACGTCTTCGATAATTTAAATCATTTGCTATACTTATTGGTGAATCTCCTGTTACATTCTCATTGCAGTTCCCAGTTTGCACTCCGGTCATATTTGTACATAATCTTCCACGAGTTTGTTGGCCGACCAGCTTCGCTGCTGTTTGGTGAGGAAAAAGTGAGACCATTGCTGATGCTTTTCAGATGATTAAGATATATTGTGCTTTCTGCTGGATCCTTTACCGTACTAATTTCGCTCATGCCTCCTCCACTGTTCTAGGTTAGAGTCTTCTATGCCGTGCGATTCTTTCTTGGACTTCTTTCTGTCATTTCCGATGCAGTTTTGGTGGTAGCTTTGTCCAGAAAATACGGGAAGCGTATTGCATCGTATGCTCTTGCAATGCTCTGCTTAACCAGTGGTTGTTTCTTTGCAAGCACAAGTTAGTGGACCTTTTCCTATTTCTTTCTTGTTTCTTAGACATGTCTTTAATTCAGTTTCTCTGGCGGCCCCGTCCTTTTGAAGTTTTCTTTACCTGGTACATTGCATTCTATTAGCCTGATATCTTCATGTCATTCCTGGCATACATGAACTAAGAAATGCTACTATTGCTCCCCTAAATTTTGCTTATTCAAAGAATCTGGATGTTTTTTGCAGGTTTCTTGCCAAGTTCATTCTCCATGTATGCCATGTCTCTGTCCTCTGGGCTACTTCTTCTCGACAAGCCCGCTTTTGCTGTTGGAGTTGCTGCTTCGGGGGTGATTCTTGGCTGGCCATTCTCAATCTTGGCCTTTTTGCCTGTGACAATCTACTCTTTGGCTAGAAGATTCAAACAGGCATTTCTTGCTGGAGCAATCACTTCTTTGGTTCTCCTCGTGAGTGTCTCTATCTTGATTTATTTTAAAGTACATTGTGTGTGAATAATTAAGTTCCATGGAATATAGGCAAATCTTATTCATGGATGAGTCATCAACTTTAGTCCTCGAGCAGAGTTTCTGCTATCCTGTGTTCCATTATTCATGTTGTTACTGATTGTGACATAAATGATTGATTAATACCCAGGCACTCTCGCTGTACATCGATTACTGCTACTACGGCAGGTGGGTGTCTTCTGTGTTGAATCTGTTGCACTATAATGTCCTGGGAGGTGGTGAGAGTCATTTATATGGAACTGAAGGGCCTCTGTTCTATCTGAGGAATGGATTCAACAATTTCAACTTTTGTTTCGTTCTCGCATTGCTTTTCCTGGCGATCTTTCCTATTGCAAGGAAAAAATATGCTCCAGAGCTGCTGGTTGTTGTCTCACCTTTATATATTTGGCTTGGGTTTATGTCTTGGCAGCCCCACAAGGAAGAAAGGTTTGGTTTGTACTACCCATGAATCTGTGTCTTTCTATGTGTGATTTGTATGTTATATGCAAATCGATGTGAACAGTGAGATTTGTGACTGCTATATTATAGTTTTCTTTTCCGTTTTTTCTCCTTCACTCGGATTTGGAAAACAGGTGCAGGCGCCTTTATTTTGACTCGTTTGATGAAGAAATTTGAAAAGCATAGAGGGTTGAGGAAAAACAAATATGTATAGTGATTTCTACTCTTCCTTTAGGAAACTGCTGGCAGTCGATATCCTTGATTGCATTAGAGAGGGCACTCCAATGGATATGGCTTTGGCCTCACAAGATGTGGGAGGATCTCATTATGCTGACTCCCCTGCACTAGTGTAGTTGCTTTTGTTATCTGGACCAGTCACTTCTTTGTCACGAAGCAACCTCACTGTCATGCTAAGGCTTGCTCTCCTCTCTGAGTTCGAATGTCAAATTGATGAATGAAACTTTGAAAGTGGTTCAGCCTTTATTCTATGATTTGCAATCAAAACATTTTTAAGGTGGCAGATAGAATGGTGTCAGCGAAAGTGAAAATCCTGCATTCTAATGCCATGCAAGGGCCTGAAACTTTATTATTATTTTTATGGTATATAATGCCCACTCAATTGGTGGGATGTAGTAATTTTCAGAACTGGAGCTATACAAGGTGTCTGATTGGCCAATTAGTGAAGAAAGTATGGTACTTTTTCTTTCATACATATAAATTGATAATTTGATGTACTGGTAGGCTGGTGATAAAGTATTCAAATGCTTAATTTTTGGAAAAGTTTATAGGTTACCTGGTTCTTGTCTGGCATTCTAATTCATTGTGCAAATACCTTGGCCTATTATCACCTTGACTCTCTGTGGGTGTTTATTCCATGTCCTGCAATGCAGATTCTAATTTCATAAATGATCTACTTCGGTATTTGCCTGTCAATATTTATCTTGCAGGTGAATGATAAAGAACCATTTAATTTTTTGGCAGATTCCTTTACCCTATATACCCCCTTGTCTGTGTTGCTGCATCTGCTGTTATTGATAGCTTTCCTGATCTTTTCCGAGACGAGTACAATCCACGTGATGATTCTCTCCTTGTTTTGGTGAGCTTCTGTTTAAAATTAGTAATTTTATGCATGAGAGTTTCTATAGTTGATTATTGAGCAACTGTTCTCCACCTGCCTTCAGGTTGCTAAACACATCAGGCCTGCTGTTCTCGGCCTCATATTATGTGCCTCCCATGCTAGAACATTCTCCTTGATTCATGGTTACTCTGCTCCTGTTGAAATCTACAAGCTCCTGGAACACCATGAAGATGCAGGGATGGGTGAGGCACCGGCGTCCATTTTATTGCCTTCTTTTATGATGAACTAGGTGACAAAATTTTGACACATGTTATCTAGCAAAAGCATAAGTTGCTTTATGGTAGTTTTTGAACTCCTTAGTCCTGATCTAATGCCCCTGGCACAAACCTTTCGAAAGGTTATGCTTCCTGTTATATATTCAGACTTTCAAGCCAACCTCATTTCAGTTACCCAAGGCATTCCTTTATGATGGTGGATTTTTCTTTCAACAATAGCCTGCAGTGTTATCATGTTTCAAGTTGTCTGGAAGCACAGTTCACCTTGTTTGTTTCATTGTCATCATTCCAGGCTCTGTGTTATGTGTTGGTAGCGAATGGCACCGCTTCCCGTCTTCTTTTTTCGTCCCTCCTTTCGTCAGTGAGGTGAGGTGGATCGACGATGGTTTCAGGGGTCTGCTACCAATTCCATTCAATTCAACCCTTGGGGGGACTGCAGCCGCACCACCCTACTTCAACAATAAAAACAAGGCATCAGATCAGCAATTTGTAATGACACTTCTCTTTGTCGATCAGTTCTTTGTACTCTTGTCACTTTCAGTGCTCACATTTACTCCTTCCCCTCTGAAATAATGCCTGCGTATGTTACAGCTCCAGGATCTTGATTCTTGCACTTTCCTCGTGGAGTTGCAGCTAAACCGACCTTACCCTACACGTGGGAGTGATTTGTCCACATGGGAGGTATAACGGCAGTATTCATTCATGTGAGTTGGGTCTGTGCACTGCTTCCTCTAGGAAATGCTAATGTTGCGATTTTTCCAGGTCATAGCGGCGTTGCCTTATCTAGACAGAGAGTTCTCACCTGCCAAGTACAGGTCCTTTTTCATCCCATACAAGTGGCATGAGAAGAATGTCTTTGGCATGTACAAGATTCTTAAAAGAATAAGGAACTGATTTAAGTGGCAGGAGAAGAGAAGGATGTCTTCGGCATGGCTCTTGATTTTTGTTTTTTCGGGACAAGGCCGGACGTTAATATCTATTAACCCCTTCTTACTAACCTCGTAGATGTGTTGAGAGAGAGAGAGATCTGTACCTTACTCTTAGCAGACATGTCAAAACAGCAATTAACTTAGCACTTTGGACATGCTTTATGGGGCGAGATGTGAGGCGTGTTCTTGCAGGGAACTAAATGAGTTGTGTTAGCACTAGTTCTCTGATTTTTATATGACGTTGCTTGAACCTTCGTCCCTCGTTCATATGCAATTTTTCCATGTCCATGAATATGAACCATGAGTTATTGCGGCCTGAGCTTGGGTAACATTTTTGCTCACGACTCTTTGTAATGGACTACGACCTTTACAAGATCTAGCTCAGGCGTAGCGTAGTTATCTACCCAGCGGCCATATTCGACTGGTCGGACCTTCATGATTGAGCTCCCATACAAGAAATGGCTGCTCCAAGACGGACAAGCCCACCATCGAGCAGGTCTTCACATTCTCATGTCTACTCTTTCACTCGGTGTAAACGCCTTATGTTTCTGGTTCTTACATCCTACGAGCGCCCAAGTTGAGCTTGCGTCGGTCGCGTGAAGCAGGTTTTTTGCAGTCTTGGTGTTAGTCAGGGTTCGCATTCGCAACTTATTTCTGCCTGTTGGTGCTCGCTGCTGCCTTATAACGGGTCTTGTTCAAACATATAATGAACGGTATGTTGATACTTAAAGCATGGATTACACAGGAAGACGATGCATTGAAAATGATAAATTTTCTTTATTTGAACACATGATGACGTTCATAGAATCGCAATTTAGTGCTTTTTTTGGTTGCCCAGATTCTTATTTTGGTTATAAATGCTAGGGGGACAAGATATCCCGTGCTTTTTCAAAAGAGTCATAAGACATGAGAATGGGATGATGAAGTGGAGTCGGGTGGGCCTCGTTTACATTTTTGGAGATGCTTGCGTTGGAACCAAGCTACGGAAACTACTGCCCAAACGCTCGTTTATATTATATTATATAGTATTTAGAAAACACGCCTTTCTATGTTAATTAACAATTTTTACATGCCAAATTCTAACTCTCGATACATATTGAACCAATGTCGAAAAAGTTTTAGGCTTAATTTAGAAAATGACATTATATCAAGCCGTAGCTTATTTCTCGAAAAAGAGAAAGATAGAAATTTATTATTTTTTCTTTTTTGTTACTCCGATGGAATATTGAAATTTTTTACGACCAATCAATCTTTGTAACCTGTCGCTTTTATCGTAATTCCCTTTATGTAACTAATAACTACTATGAGCAGTTGAAACTTATTCGCTTATATTTTATTGACCGATACTTTTCGCGTTTTTAAAATTCAGAAAGTGAGGTCAGATAAACACATAAGATTTCATTTCTCATTTCGTTTCATCGAAATAGATGATTTCATTTGACCCTTTTTCAAATCAAAGTGAACTTCCTCTTGATCATCATCTTACATAATCTCGACTTTAACTTGAAAAAAATAAAAAAAAAATTCGAATTTTCCGACGAAATGCTAAGAAGAAAAAGTCCACCTCAGCATACATACATACATACATACATATATATATATATATAAAAGTAAAAGTCGACGAGAGAAGGCGAAGAAGTCAAAAAGATTTTGCAAATTGGCGCAGCAGCTGAATAAAAAAATTTCCATCTCAACCAAGCAAAAAGAAGCCCTCGCTCGCTCTCTCTCTCTCTCTCTCTCTCTCTCTCTCTCACTTCCCATTTCCTTCTCGTCTTCCTCCTCCCCCCACAAAGGCCACCTCCCTCTCTCTCTCTCTCTTCTTTCTCTCTCTAGAGCTCTAGCAATGGCGAACAGCAACCTCCCTCGACGAATCATCAAGGTCTGTGGCTTCGATCCCCTCTCTCGATTTCCTCCCCACCCCCCCCCCCCCCCCCCGGGCGATCGCCGTTCGTTCTCGTCTCTCTCGTTCTGCATCGGAACGTCCGGCAGATGCGAGAGATGTTGATCCTGCATCTGCGTCCTTGTTCAAGCTTTGTTTGGTCTCAGTCGAAGTGTTCGTCGCTCGGCTTCGCTTAGCTTCATGCTTGTATCGTGTGTGAAGTTGATGATGATCACCGATTCCGGATGATCTGGCTCTGAGGGTTTTTCTCGGGGCGTCGGAGCTCCACATTAGGGTTTTACTCTCTCTAGCTGTGTTTTCAAATTTTGTTTCGTTTTGATGCTTAGTGTTGCTTATTCGCGTGCCTGTTCGCCGAGGAAACAGACGTGGTTGTTGAGAAGAGGCTGAAAGAAAGATTTTTCTCGGATATATAATCTGCCTTGTGTGAACACGTTGGGGATGCGTATCGATGTGAATCCATGCGAATTGTTGCGTTTTTGACGGTTTGCTTATCTGGATCTTTTCGTGGCTTCGCAGGAAACGCAGCGTCTCCTAAGCGAACCAGGTAAACTTTTACGCTGCCACTCTAGCTTAATTATGGATCGTACATGTTCGGCAATTATCTCTGGAGAGTGGGATTTTTGGTCGGTTTAGTGGCTATACATAAACAAACAAACATGATTAGGGTTTATTATCTTCCTTGGAATGACGCAATCTAGAGGACTGGAAGGCTGTTGTTTCTTGTTGCTTTGATCGGTACATAGAAGTTATAGTAATCTATCTTCACCATGTTTTTTTCTGGTTGCACTTTGGTACTTGGAATGAGAGGGTATCTTGTTGAAATTTTCTCCGATCTATTTTACAGCTCCAGGGATCAGCGCGTCACCTTCAGAAGACAACATGCGATATTTCAACGTGATGATTCTTGGCCCCACTCAGTCACCTTATGAAGGTACTGGCTACTAATTAAATCGTGTGGTGGAATGATGAGTGCGCACAGATGTGCTTGCAAAGCATGGCATCAATTTCTTTTGAGGTTCAGCCGTGGTGCCCATGCTCTTGCTTTAACATGAGCATGTATGCTGGAGATGCATGTGTTTGGGTGAGATGGCAGTGAAGTAGTGAGCTAGCTGTAAGCTGTGGCTCTTGATGTTTTCTCATACCTAAAATGGTTTCTACTGTCCTTATGCAGCCAGCTGATAGTTTATTAAGTTACAGGCATTACTCTTTTGCTGGGAAAAGTTTTTGTTTTTGACTGAGAGTCACATTTTCAAGGTCTTTAAGCAAATGATCATTTGTATTTCCCCTTGGGCATTCTAAGTAATGTGGTATGTAGTCCTTTAGAGCGATATAGTTACAACTGCATGTCCACAACTGTGGATATAGGCTGCATGGATTATTGTCGAGCAAATTCATACGTTGTACCCTTTAGGGGGCATTTAAGTGTACACTGCCTTCCTATCTCTATTTTGTCTCTTCCATATCATCTGGCAATCGGTTGGACATCGTACCCCGCATCAGCTTCAGATTTATCACGTTATAACGCCGAGAATCCACCAGTCAAATATCGAATAGCATGGGAGAAGACTCCACGACTTACATTCTTAATATTTGCACCCACATTTTGATAATACTGGAAAATATCTTTTTGGCAGGGGGAGTTTTCAAGTTGGAGTTGTTCTTACCAGAAGAATACCCAATGGCGGCACCCAAGGTAAATATCCTTTTGGTCCTTTAGTTTGGGCTTAATCAGCCTTGGATTTGGTTGATGGTTCCTTCAAATTAGAGTGTGGTATTATAAAACAAACTTTCCATGGGGTCAAGGGCCAGTGGTATGGCATTGCGGAATTGCCAAGAAATGCTCTCTAAAGGTGAAACACCGGTGATGACTCATTTTCCCTTGATAGTTGTTTCGTGTCTATCAAAATGATGAAGGAAACAAAGTACCTGCCATTGCTACTTTTTTCTTCATTGGAGAAGAGGCCATGGTACTTCTAGTGAGATCAAAGACATGTAACTTGACATGTGGATTCATATCTTAAAATGAGCGAGTTGGGTATGATTGTGGATTTCACCTTCTTACATTGACCAAGTTCATTCTAGTATATTCCTTACTGGTTGGTATCTTCCATTAGGAAGGTCTATCGTTTGTGGTGACAATGGTTGTTATTTATTATGTTCAGCAGTCATGACGCCATTGGCTTTTTATTTGTTCCTAAAGTTTTCTTAATTTCCCAAATTGACCATATCAAATTTCTGTTCTGGGCCAATCAAGCTTTAGTCCAACCAATTCAACCCTGACTCTCAATTAAAAAGCCCAATGTATACATTAGTAATGACGGTCAAAGTTAAAGCTCCCATATTTGCTTGAAAAGTTAATTTTGGTTTTGTAAATTGTCATAACTAGTGTTGAAAGAGCATCTCCTTCAACGAACATTGCAAATAACCTTTTTTGTGAAATCGAAATAGATCATATAATGAATAACTACATTACCAAAAAAAGATAAAATGACTCTCTAGTCAACCATACTTAAATAGATGTGAATAGGGAAAAAGCAAATTACTTCAACCAAAATTACCGCAGGTTGAAACACGACAATTGTAACGTAATGGCAACAAATCGTATACTTTACAAATAAAAGAAATGAAGTCTCAGTTACTATTTACGTTTCTGCCAGCACATTTTCGTATCATTAAAGCGTTTTATGTTTACTTGATTACCACATACGAAGTCTTGCTTGTTTATCCTAGTAAGAAGATCTAATCTATTTGTGTGTCTAAATTAATTTTTTTGCCTTTAATGTTTTGCATCCCCCTGGGGCCAACGGGGGGAGAAATTTGTGTAGCTTTGGCCCTCTAGTCGGATTATTCCATAATTATAACTGTTGCAAGCATATGATATGCAATGATTGGCCTGCTCTCTGGTTTTAGTATTTGTGCACAACCTGTTTGGGCAATGGCATGGTTCGTGAATTCTTGCAATGATCATTTTCACACTCTACCAGTGTCCGCTCAACAAATTGGTCTTGTAACTAATTCGTGCATTGGGATCATCAACAGCAATGACCCAAACTCATCTTAGTGTACATTTGGTTTTATTAATGTGGCGGTTTCGTCAAACGAGGCATTCCAAATTTGGTGGTAATTTGCTTAATATAGTATTTCACAAATAAGGCTTGTCATCTCGAGTATACAAACATAAATGCATTACTATCTAAGTTTGTGGTGCAGCGAGATTTATTGTTCTCAAAGCATAATAATGTAGCTATCCATCTGGTATCAGGTTTTATAAGAATTCATTGCCATATATAACAAACTATTTTGTCCTTGGGAGGACAGCTCAGATACTTAATTTGAAATTTAGTTACAAAGCATTAGGTTTTCTCCCTTTTGTTTGGAGGTTAGCCGATTTTTTTATATACTTAGTCAGAAAGTAGGTTTTCCGATTGACTCTATAATGTGATCTGATCCCCCATTCCCATGCACACAGACAGTAAAAAGGAAATAAAACTGGGAATGGCTAGGTTCGATTGTTTAATACCGTCGAGCCTTTTGATGTTGCGGTGCTAACAATCTGATAACTATCTCTTCTGATGGATAGTTTTGTGTTGACCTATGTCTTAATTGTCACGCAAAAGTTACTTTCTGGATGGCGCATAATTTCATTGGTCCATGGACCTTTCTTTCAGGAAAAATCTTGTTGTCTGTCTCCATATTCTATAGTCCTGTTTACTTTTACCCCTTTTGGCTGCGATCCTCAGTTTTTGAGATTGTCCTTTAACAGGTTCGGTTTCTCACCAAAATATATCATCCTAATATCGATAAGGTAAAAAAAAAACTTGTCCTTTTCTAGGGTCATCTTGTTCTATCCTTCTTATTGAGTTTCTTTGTCAATTGAAAAGCTTGGGAGGATTTGCCTCGACATTTTGAAAGACAAATGGAGCCCGGCACTTCAAATTCGGACGGTGCTTTTGAGGTAATCGTGATTTCTATCTAAACTATGGTTGGAAAATGTTCGATGATTCCTCAGAACATTCAGAAGTTCTCCTTCAACCTAGTTTTCTAGACACCTCTGTGTTGTGGAGGTTCAATTGCTTTTAACATTTACCTTCTCATGGAGGGGGCGTTATTTGATTATTATTCGATTTGAATAGACTGTCACGTGTCGCGACATTTTTGCTTATTGGCGTAACCTTTCTGGTAGTATCCAAGCTCTGTTGAGTGCTCCAAACCCTGATGATCCACTTTCAGAGAACATTGCCAAACACTGGAAGACAAATGAGGCTGAAGCTGTTGAAACAGGTATTCTTGGTGTATTTGTTTTCTTATGGCATTGCTGGCGATCTTGATCTGGGTACATAATGTACTGTTGAGACCGTTGGTTGATACTGTCAAGAGTGTCTTTTCTGATGTCTTTCTATCCTCTGCTCTCTTTTATTTGGAATCTGCAGCAAAGGAATGGACCAGATTGTATGCTAGCGGTGCATGACTGCATTAAATTTTGCCTTCTTTCAAGTAGCATTACCTATAAGTCGTGTAAGCTGTTCCGTGTTGATGCAAAACTGGAATACGGAAGAACTGATGGTTGAAAGATCGAAGTCTTATATCCTCAGAGCTCCCCGAAGTGACTGTTCGATTTTTTTTCTTTTCCTCATTATTGGAAGCTTTGTACTGTGAATTTCTATTGTTGAGGTGTTACATGTCTTTCTTGTCTCCAATCGGTACACAAATGGAGATAATCTGTTCGCTTGACTTTTATATGGAAGTGTCATTTCGATTTGGAAATGCTAAATTAAATGCAAGACCTGTGAATATTGGGTGTAGATGTTTACTTGTACTTTTGGCCTATTGGATTCTATCCCCTATGCCTATTGTTAGGTTATTCCCCTGACTGTGGGTTAGACATTTATGTTCAGATAGGAGCTGGCATTGCATTTACCGCAGTTGCGATATATCAGTATGTGTGGAATGACTTGCATTTTTGGCTTTTGGCATTTCATATCTGACTTTGATATCATGCGGAAATAATTGGCAATGATCCTTTCCCCGATTAGGATAGAGTTCCATCTTAACAGGATGATTGGGGGTGATGGTTGCCACCAAAATTGTCTGTTGTAGGTTAATTATGGGGCTTAGGTTTACTTATAGGGCTGTGTATTTCTGATACTTTTTCTAACGCGTCCATTCATAAATGACCTATTCTTTTAGTTTAGACGGATGCTTCTTTCCATATGGGTCTGGAAATTTTATCGAGCTTGAATGAGTCGATGCACCAAACTCGGGAATGAGATAAAAGATTCCCACAACATACTATCGTTATACGGGTCTCTTTTTTTCTTTCCGCAACTCTTGTACGTTGTGAATGTATAAAGGGTAAGGAAGGAAGGAGAGAAAGGGGAAGATCGTCAGACCCTGCGAATCCGCAACGGCTAAATTTTCCCTGTTTGTCTCAGTTTCGGACCGACCATCTTTTCAGGGACATCACACCCTACTTACACACTTGTACGTTTCTTTTGTCCTCTCACTCTCTCATCTCTCTCTCTATCCCCCACGCGCTTCGGTTCCGTTGCCACTTCAACAACCCAGTCTTCTTCTTACCATTATCCATCCCATTTCATCGATGGTTGGTCCATATGAAATCACCACCTTTCTCTTTACCTTTCTTTTACCTATTTTCGTGCTAAATAACGATGAACATGTTGACCCTATGACCACCTTCGTTTGACATATCGATATTTATGGACGAGGCTTTACATTTGTTGATGAGCTGTTTTCCAATAGGGGTTCGGTGAGACGTATGATTTTATTGGGAACATAAACCAAGCCTCCATGGCCGGTAGACCCCCTTACTAAATGTCAAAGTGGATAGAGTGGTGAACAGTAGTCTTAAGAGAAAATAAACGGGGAAAAGCTTCGTGGTAGGCCATTTCGTCAGGATCAAGGCTTATGCATATGTAGAGAGAAGTCACATCCAAGATATGCAGCTGCACATTAAATGGATGGTGCGACACAGAATATCAAAAGCCCCCCCCCCCACCAACCAAATTTCGTTTAAATATCTCATTATCTCAAGACACCCACCAAACATCATCATCATCATCATCAACATCATCAGAGTCAAATCGATATGTTTACTACCAAATAGCCCAACTCTCTCCCTCTCTCTCTCTCTCTCTCTCTCTCTCTCTCTCTTAATCGTCCCCATTTCATAGCATGTATGATTCCATCGATAGTGACCGAGCAAACCGCATCCGACTAATCAACGTCGTCGTCATCTATGGAAACCTCCTCCTTCAGGGCATATTCTCAGATAAAGCTAACACTATTCTGTGAAGTGATGGGTAAGGTTAAGGACTTAAACAACAGCCAATGATTATCTCATCACACCATATATGCTTTGTCTTGTACCCAATCAAAACAACTTTCTCTCACGCTCGCCCCCATTTTGATCCTCACCTTTTTCCCATATATACTTTAATGCAATAGAGAGTGGGGCACATACCTAACCATCAAGGGCTGACAAGGCTGAAAACAAATGGTGGTCGTCACCGTCAGCGCCGGCTAAATTAGCACCGACCAGTCATTACTTTCTCCTCCTTAGACCATATTTAATTTTTAAATTGATGTTTCTTCCTTTTCGGTTGGGTGTGTGGGGGCAACTGCTTGGAAGATGGGCAAACATAAATGATTCACATGTGAATAGAGGTTTCTATAAAACAGAATGCCCCTCTCGAGAGGGACTCCTCACCATGCCCCCACATCAAGGCAAAATGACATCCCCACTTTTATAAACAAACCCAATCAATCACCCATTTCTGAGTTTTGGATAACACTAAACAATTGCTAGTAAAAAAAATACATATTTATACACACATACAACTTCAACCCCCAAAAAAGGAAAAGGAACAATTCAATGTGCAAGTGAAACCTTCAAGACTCCAACTTCTACAGTAGATATGATTAAAAACCAAATAGTAATGGATGGATCCCCCTCTCTCTCTCTCTGATACATAATAATAAACAAAAGCAAAAGAGGAGAAAGTGGACAAAGAAAGAGCAATGAATTTTATCAACCACCCAGTCCAGTGTCCACCACCCCATAATAAGAAAACCAGCCTTGCTTTAATGACACGGTACTTTTTTTCTACACGCCAGATCGAGACTCCCGAGACCAGGTCAGTCTGTCTTATTCTCTCCGCAATTTACCACACTACCCTTTGAGGAGATCAGCAATATCCTGTTTGTTTGTGTCCATGAGATCCAACAAAACATAATGCAAGAACACACACACACATCTATCTCTCCACCCTCTTGCTCAACCAACAATGCTGAAGTGAAAAATGCAAGATCAGACCCCAGAAGCAGTGTGTTAGATAAACTTTGTATCCAATGCAAAGAAAAGTCAACTTAAAGGGAAAAAAAATGGGGAACTTTTATTGATTAAGTGGTTGACAAAAAAGAAACAATGATATTCCTCAAGACATCATGGTTCATCCATCCTCCTTTCACCAACCCAATTGAAAGTAGCCACCAGACATCCAATTTCTTTCTCCCTCAAAGCCTCCACCAATATTTCATGTGTATATATCATCACATATATACATTATACAAAGCAGTCCTCTTCTACCAACTATAGCCACCCACCCACCAATCTTAGCCTCCCCCTCCCCTCCTGCCCTCTTTTCTAACATATATGTGCTTGTAGGATTCAATGATTGTACATGAAATTTCTCAAATTCTATCATAATGGGATACAATAACCAGGCTGGCCTACTACATCAATGTGAAAGAAAGAGCCCCCTCCAAAAATCAAAAGAGAAAGAAAAAAGGAAAGAAAAAAAAGAGTGGGAGAGAAAGAGGCAGAACAAGGGACCAGAGAGCAATGGAGGAATCAAAGAATCAAATGAAAACTGCAAAAGCAAAACTAAAAGCTATCTCTCTCTCCCATGGCTGCTAGCGAAAGGTTATTACATTGAAAGGAATATTTATGTCACAGGTATCTGCATGTCCTTACAGGGTGGGAGGATATATTGGCAGGGTGGAGGGAAGAGCTCGAGGACAGTGGTTTCTGCGGAAGCAGACCGATATAGCAAAAATGGCAGGGAAGCGGAAAATGCGGTGCTCTCTATTTGCGTTAAAAGCTATAATGCCTCACCGAGTGTTCCAGCACGTCACGACTCGGGCACACAATTTCTTTCACTCGACATCCGCTTTTGTAGATCTTGAATGTAGGTACAATCCGGACATTCTCAGCGCTAGCAATTGCTGGACATTCTTCAACATCCACCTTTAATGGAGGAAAGGTTTCGCATGAGAAGTAAATTTTTTCCCCTTACTTTTATAAAACAATATAACTACAGCTGGGGCTAAGTTTAGAGTGAAGTTGAGTATGAAGCAGGGGTGTAAGCAGGCCGTACCTTAAGAAAACTAATGGATGGATAGCGGCTGCAAAGAGTATCCAGAAATGATGACATCTGTTTGCACTGAGAATCCGAGGATGTTTTGAAGTGCACCACAGAAACTCCTGCAATTATAAGATTGCTTATCGTCAGAAATAATTCTGGAACCATAGACAAAGACCAAGCATAACAATTCAGATAATTCAAGGACCTGGTAAGGAGATGGCAGCCTTGAACTGCTCAAGACCCGATACTTCTTCAACTTCACCGCCAAACTTCATGTTGGTTACCTCTTCTCCAAGAGATTTCTTTAATGCAACTTGAGCATGGAAAAGAGATTCTGCAACCTCATTGTCACCTGGAAGTTCCCTCCTGAGGACCTCATAGTCTCTCACTGCATCTTCCCACTTCTCTAGCTGTGAGTAAACAAAATACAACATTAGCCGACACAATTCAGCTCCCACTAGAATTGCATGAAAGTGGACACTCAAACTATTGCAAGACTGAGAGAACATTACAGTACCTTGCTGTTTGAGGCAGCCCTTCGGAGAAGGGCTTTTGTATAATTGGGTTGTATCCGTAGAGCTCGGTTGCAGTCCTCGACTGATTGCTCCCACTGACCAAGTTTAAACCAGCAAGCAGCTCTATTGCAGTACAAAACAGAGTTTGCAGGATCAAGCCTAAGCCCATCTCCGTATGCCATGCAAGCTTCAGTGAACCTTTCTGATTTGAAGAGATCATTTCCACGTGCCCGAGCTCTCGTGATCAACCGGACATTTTTCAGCAGCGCTGAAACTTCAAAATTTTGCGCATCAATTTGCCCAGCTTTCTCAGCAGTGGAAACTGCATTCTCAAACCTGCAAGACATCCATCATCTAAATGTCACTCTCTCTTCGACCAATTTCTATTTCCTAGTCTCTATCATGTAATATCTGAACTCACCTTCCCAGCGCCATCTCAATTTGAGCTCGCACAAAAAGTAGGTAGGCCTCGGAGAGCATCCCAAAGAACTTAGCACGTGAGCATGAGTCGCCAAGCGGTTCTAATTTGGGTATTTTATTTAAACTCAATTCGGCTTCTTCAAGTTGGTGAAGCTTCAAAAGTGCTTCCACTCTACACATAAAGAGCTGTATATTCAATTCGAACTTGCTTAGATTTGTTGGTCTTAACAGCACCAGCTCAGAAAAGTTCGCCAAAGAAATAATCAGAACGTAATTACCTGACAAGAAAAATCAGCTCCAGCAGCTATAGCGGCGTCACCTTCTCTCAGGACTGTTTTCCACTCGCCAACCCTGCGCGCATCAGCACATCTACTGAGGTGCTTTTCTACAGCCTGTAACTTATGCTGCTCGTTTGAATCTGGTTGCGACCCTGGAATGTACATATGTCTCCTAGCATTTTCAACCTGCCCTAATCTGCAAA